AGGACAGATTGAGGGAAAGAGAAAAACAGCGAGTAACATTTTTGATGGGATTGAGCAAATAGATGGCAGAACGCTTTCATTGTATTTTCCTGTACATCAATTAGAAAATTATAGACATGATATAATACTCAGAGCAATATTCTATACATATGTAATCATGAGAATCTATAATACTGTTGTTCGTATTCTTTACTTCGTTTATTCCCGGGGAGATAGGTTAGGCTTTCAACATATCTCCTAAGATCAAAGCTACTAATTGGCAGGCATTATCAGCTAATATTTAGAGCATAATTTGGTAATTAATGATTCTCTATATAGTCTTATTTCTTGAAGAAAATTCTTTTTTTAAGGCTTCTAAAATATAGAATTTTTTACTGCTTCCTTTTCTGCTTGGCAAATGAATAATCAAACGAGGACCAAACGCGTTGCACATATTTTTCTACTTTGTTATTCGCTTTCCTAACGTTCATCGTTTTTTTTAAGCATTTCACCCCAAGCAAGGCTGGAAGCCACTAGCACGCAAGGAGTTATACAGGATTTGAGGTGATAGCAGATAGGAGTGATAGAGGAAAGGATGAGGAGAAGGATAGTGGATAGATCAAGGCAAATGGAGATGTCGATTGACATTACATTTGAATAGTTGGAGATTATAGCTATCAGGGAAACAGCAATAGGGAAGGGAGTTCCACAGGCGAGAGGTGCGAGATATGAAGCTATTGGAGTAGAAGAGACGAGTATATTTAACAGTTTCGACAGTGAAAGGGTGAGAGCGGGATGCCAGCCTCGTAGGGCGAGACTGGCATCATGAAATTTGGGAACCAGCGAAAGCAGCTCATCGGAGTAATTACCATGAAGGTATTTGTAAAAAAGACAGAGGGAGGCGACGGTACTTCTGTGAGAGAGCGAATGCAGACGAGATGCTAGATCAGGGCCAATTACATTGCATATCCGTCTCTGGATCTTATCAAGAACCCTGAGACAAACAGAAGGGGCTCCAGACCATATATGGCAGCAATACTCCATGCAAGGGCGAATGGTTGATTTGTAGATTTGAAGGATCGATCCTGGGAAGAAAAATTTCCTGATATAAAACTTATGGATCATATGTTCCTATTTGTTTCTTTGTATCTTTCAGTGTCTGTTCTGTTTCGTAATAAACCCAATACTTTTAAATGACCCTAATTTATAATATAATATTATCCTTTTTCGTTCATTCCTGTGTATATACGTTACGCTTTCATTGTATCTTTCAAAAACTATATTGCGAGGTAGTAGACAAAAATCCCCTCATCCCCAAAGCACTGATTATGTTTATATTTTATATATATATATTTTATTTCTACAACAATAACGAGATAAGGGTGAATATTAAATATAAAGTAACAACTGGCTTATAAAATTAGGGAAAGGAACGAGTAAGGAGAAAGACATAAAATAATGACTTAACCAAATAGCCTCTTAACCCTAGGACCCTAACCATGGGTACATAGTACCTTAGGACACTAACCATGGGTATATAGTACCCTAGAACACTAACCATGGGTATATAGTACCCTAGGACACTAACCATGGGTATATAGTACCCTAGGACACTAACCATAGGTACATAGTACCCTAGGACACTAACCATGGGTACATCGTACCCTAGGACACTAACCATGGGTATATAGTACCATAGGACACTAACCATAGGTACATAGTACCCTAGGACACTAACCAAAAAACATGTTGGGATTAAAGAGAGGACACTAACCATGGGTATATAGTACCCTAGAACACTAAATGGGTACGTTTCCCTAAGACAATAACCATGGGTATATTTTTACCCTAGGACAAACCATGGGTACATTTCACCCTCAAAGGACACTTTTTATGGGTTTTATTTAAAATAGGACAAACAAACCATGGGTATATAAAATTTTTTTAAAAAAAACCATAAAAAATTTACAAAGTAATAATAGGACATTAACCATGGGTATTCATGTACCCTGTGGGACAGTTAACCAGAGGGTATATAATGTCTTAGAACAGTTTAACCATGGGAACATTTACCTTGGGACACTAACCATGGGTACATAGTAGGACTTTAGGACATTTTTTCATGGATATATAGTACCCTTTTCAAACAAAACTTTTTTATACATAAACCCTAGGACACCAACCATTTATATAGTACCCTAGGACACTAAACATAGGTACATAGTACCCTAGGACACTAACCATATTTATAAAAAAAGGACACTGCAAACATGGGTACATAGTAATTTTAGGACTCTAACCATGGGTATATTTGCCCAGCGCAAATTTTCCTATTTTTAATTACAATTTTCTTACCTCAGTAACATGGTTTTCAGTTCCTATTAATGTTAACTCAAAGTACAAAGTTTGAAGTGCCTGCATGTAAAATATTTCAAATAAAGGTTTATATTTAATATTTTTTTTTGATATTTTCAAAATCGGGTATGATATACCCATGGTTAGTAGTGGTGTAACTTTAATTGATGGGTAGTCTTCTAGGGTTAAGAAACCAGAAAAGAAATAAACATATGGAGTAGATATATTTGCGTGGAAGAATTTCATTGGCTGATGGCCGAACGATCGAAACCCTTGAAAAAACAGAAAACAGAAAAAAAATCTCTTAAGCAAGTATGTCCGAAAGATTTTTGGAAACATTTATGCCAATGATACTACTATATACGGGCGTACATCTAAAATTCTTGATGGTCAGTGATTTTCGGCTGATCTCTCTTTCGATTTTGCACAAACTACTCAGCGGAGTAAAAACTGTCTGGTTACATTCAATGCCTCGAGAGCCAAGCTAGTTACATTTCATCATCGCTGGACGAACTATCCGATGACCCCGCAGGCGAGGTACAGTGCCTTGAAAGACTGTTGAGCCTCAAACTGACACCTGACAGTTTTTTGTGTATATATATATATATAGTCCACCAATAGAAGGTTAACCAATCAGAAGACGTAGAACATTCAATCCGTCGTGTATAAAGGCGGCCATTTTGTCTACTCTACCCGAATGTCCAGTGCCAGCTTGTCAGGCGAAGAGAAACTATTCTCTGCTACTTTTATCAAAATATCGACTGCTAACCTGAACAACGCTTTCCTACTGTCTTCGAAATATTCACTGCTAACCTCTGGATTCTATACTTGAAGACGACCGTCATGATGAATAACAAAGTAGACATACGATCCATTGCTAAGAATGCGGGTAAAATAGTCAATTCCCTGTACCACTCCAGTAAGTACCTCACTCCTGCTATCCTCTACCTTTTCAAGGGCCAGATCAGGCCTAAAATGGAGTACTGTTTTCATGTTTAGGCGGGAGCTGACCAGACCTCACTCTCCAGTCCAAAAGAGTCTCCGAGTCCATTTTTGGATAACGAATTATTTTCCACCCTCCAACATCTCTCCCACAGCTGGGATGTGGCAAGCCACTCGCTGTTCTGCCGCTACAAACATGGAAAGTCCTGATTTTTTTACATTTTTCTGGTCCCAAAAGAAAAAAACATTTACGCTAAGGAATAATATGCCACTCATATTGTGAATAAAACTACCCACATTCCCTCGGTGAGAAGTTCCACTCGAATAGCTTCTTCCCGCGGACCACTGCCCTGTGGAATCGACCTCCCAAGAAGATGTTTCCCCGATTACTACAATCTTAACCTGTTCAAGGCTAGGGTTAACCATTATCTTCCACTCCTATACACACAATATTGCCCCCTAACGTAAACGTCTAACTCGAGTGGCAACGGGCCTCGTAAAGGTTGAAATACCTAGCGTAGATCTACCAAAATAAGTGCCTATATTTGATCAACACAAACGCGGTTAGCTGACTAGAAAAACCTGATGATGAAAAAATCCATAACTTTTACTAAAGTCAGCAAAACGTCACTGATGACTCGGAGTATTCGAATAATGCATGTTACATATACAGGGCGTCCCAAAAGTCACCTAGGCATTTAAAATATCATAAAATGTCATATATTTTATAATTTTCTATTTCATTTCTTTTTTCTTTTTCTTTTTTTTGCTCATAACTTCAATTCATCTTTAGCACTTTGCATTCTTTTACAAGGCCTCCCAATTGCAGTATCCTTATTGTTAATTTCACGCAAAGGTGTTTTCTGTTGCCATAGCAGGATATGACAACACAATTATGAAATTCAAACACACTATTGTTCAGAGATCAGACTCACCTACAGTGGCAGGATAAATTTTATTGTACAGTACATAAAGTCGCATACAAATACATGGTTAACATAGGGAAATTACTCATTAAGAAAATCACAGCTAAGGAAATACTGTAATTCCCCATTTATAATTTTATTTATAACACGCATATATATATATATATATATATATATATATATATATAAATCATCTCAATTTAGATAGTGCTTAACAACGCCATCATTACGGTAAATTGTTATATTTTCATATTATATATTAAATAACAATCAGTATACACTCAGCGCCTGAAGATCGCGTTTGGCATGAAAAACTCGGAGTCGTTCTAACGGTGTGGGATAATATGTATATTTATTAATATATATATATATATATATATATATATATATATATATATATATGTGTGTGTGTGTGTGTGAGTGTGTGTGTGTGTACTGTATAAGGTAATTAATATTTATTGTTGTACTTTCTTTGACTCAATTCTCTGATTTCACTCGTGACATTGTTAATAGGCTCCATACTGTCTACATTGGCTTAAATGCACACCCTAGGAAACGCGGACTTAGGAAAACCATCTTGTGCCGATTACGAATCGGCCATACAACAATCATCCACTCCTTTATACTTATCCAGGAGGGGAGGTCGGAATGTGCAGAATGTTGGGCACAGTTAAGTAATCCTGATAAAGTGTCACGTTCTCGCTTTCACTAGACAACCATTCCATACCACAAACAGCATGAAAGACCTTCAAAAACATCGATGTTGTTGACCTACTATCTCTCGTAAAGGAAATAGCCCTATACTACGTAATAGATCAGGCATGAACGAACTTTTTGTTTTTCAAACAGTGGACGGCATGGTCTATAGTACATCAACAGGCAGTCCGCAGTACTCAAAAAAATCAAGTTCCTTTTGTATTAAAGCTATCGCGGCCATTTTTGAAACCAAAGAGCATGCGCATAAGCGTCGGTTTTAGAAATAGGGACATTTTATTTTTTTTTACTTTGAAGAAACTATTCCTATTATAATAAGCAAAAATTAGCGGATTTTGTTTAGCGGCATATCAACACCTCTATGGGTTATTTAATGCCGAAATCTAAATGTTCTGAACGCAATTTTAAAATTTTGAAATTGTATACCTACAACTAGAAATACAATATATTGTTGGTAATTTTACTATAAATAAATATTGTTGGTCATTTTTTATATAAAAGATATTGCTGGTATTTTTACTTTAATTTTTTTTTTTATAATTTCATAATGATTTGTTTTTGTTTAGTGGTTGACTATTTGCCCATAGTTGGAACCCTAACAGGTGCTACCACCTCCGGTTATAGTGGACCTGGGAACAACAGCAATTGAGGTGGTTCCACGCTCCAATTACCCGATTAGAAGCATTGCTGCCGGATGTAGTTTATCGTCATACTCAGGACTATAATAATAATAATAATAATAATAATAATAATAAGAAGAAGAAGAAGAAGAAGAAGAAGAAGGATTTTTTAACAAAAAAATATCCAAATGTTGGACAGTTTTTGTCATTATTTTCAACCGAAATTAAAGCAAATATACTGAGTTTAGAACGGCTCCTGATCAAACATAATAGACATTCATTGTCTGTTATATTTAACACCATATGTTTAAATAATGATCAGCTGCCACAATACACTATATATATATATATATATATATATATATATATATATATATATATATATATATATATATATAAGATTTTGAAAAAAAACATTTGTGCAAGATGTTTTCTCGATCAAACAGCAACATTAGGAAAAAGCAGATTTTATTTCTAATGAATCTACACTTGGATGGTCGTCTCCTTAACGTAGCTTAGGCATGGCACAAGGCGAAAAATAAGGAGCACACAGTGAGGATCGAAGACACTATTCAGTCGTAACTGATCTAGAAGACAAGCTTGCTAACGATCACACCGCGACAAAGTGCCCTAAATTTGCAAGGTTTAGTGATTTTCTAAGCCTAGCTTAGATGTGGCACAAGGCTGAAATTACGGAGCATCCAGTGAGGATTGAAGTCACTATTCAATTGTAATTGATCTAACGAAACAGGCTTGCTTACTAACTTTACATCACGTTCTTTATTGGTTGGTTGTTTTTGTTTGGCGGCATATCAACAACTGTATGGGTTTTTTTAATGCCGAAATTTGAATATTTTGAACGCAATTTTATTTTATTTTTGAATATAATTGTGGTTTAAGTATTATTAATGTTGTGGGGCTCTCCCCTTTTTACATAAGATGGACTCGTCCAAAGTATACTTATACTGACAGGGAGAATACCTGCTGTTGAGTACATGAGATACGTGAAGATACGTTGAGACAGGTTGAGAGATACGGAGACAGACACAGGGTGTTCTCAGAGAGTTATACAAGAGTCCAGAGAGAGAGAGAGATGATTACGGCTTTACTTACAGAGACTTGTACATATACTTTCTACTAACCCGCATTCCTGGACTACTAATAATCACTTCAAGTATTCTTACGTTTAATACACTTATTTTTCTATCTCAATTACTGGCGTTGTTTATTTATTTGTGCAGGATTCCATTCCCGGAATCCACAACAACTAATTAACCTATCTACGAACTGATGAGACTCAAGCTTCCTTCCCTTGAATAATCATTAGACTTAGAGCACATCCCCTGAATTTCTGTGATTAGATTTTATCATTATTTACGTTCGGGCTAGGGTCAACGTTACTATCTTCTTTGTTGTTTTGACAGCGTTTCGGCTATTTCCTTCTGCCTTCATCAGGTGCTTGCTGGCCATATCTAGGGATATTTCGTCTTGTTTGCTACAAAACATTGATATTAAAAAAACTCATCATGTTTTTGACTGGCCTCGTCAGATCGAGTTTTTCTCATGTGGATGCAATCCATGGCATCATACTCGATGAAAACTATCTAAACCGTCAGCTGTATACAACCGATTTCTAAGATGAATGGTTAAAAATCGATCCGAGTGTATGAAGTATGTAGTTATTGGCAATGACAATCCTTCTTCGAGCCTCGTGAACTGGCGCTACAGAATCAGAAAGAACTGTACCAAATAACAGAAGACCAACCACTTTCAACAGCACCAACAACTGAGATTGATAGTACATAATTCAAAGAGAATATAATGACATAATCAAGATGTTAACATTCCACACTACTTCAAACAAAAGGTTAGGAAGGAAACTCCCACCATTAATTGAAAGAGTGATAACAGATATCAAACTTAAGAAATTTATTTTCATGAAAACCTGTTTTCAGAGAAATTTTTTTTTAGATTTCGACCCACAACAGAACTGGCTGATGAGTCAAGGGATGTCAAAATTGTTCTTGTAGGTAAATGTTTAATATTAACATTACCATTCTGACATGCCTGTGACGGGATCTTTTTTGTAGCAGTGCTATTTTTGCTCATGTAATACAGGAAACAGTATCAGTTCGACTTCCAGTAGAAGCCTATGTTCACAGTGTACTAACGGTCGCTTGCAAAAGGCATGAATCTAGATACCCCTGTACTACTTCCCATTGTTAAATCTCTTCAAATTTAATTAATTTGCATCCCAATATCACCTGTGGTCAAGGTCAGCCGGTTTGCTGAATGAACACCTTTCTCTGCCCAAGGTCAGAGCCACAGATGGGGATTAGATAAAGACGATTTAATTCATAGGCCATTGACATCAGATGACTGTTTTGATCAAAAAAAAATAGGCTTGATATATTCAGATAGTTGCAGTAATTAAGAGAGAAAAATATACTTTAGAGACAAAGAAAAGGGTAGAAACGGCCGCAGGCCATATGTGGCAGCGATATTCAGAGACTGGAGAAATGGTAGACTTATAAATATGTAAGACACATTCTGGAGAGAAAAATTGTCTAACGCGACACAGCGAAACAACTTTCCTATCAATAGACCTAAGAACTGATCCAATATAAGCACTCCACTTTGCATATCAGTGAAAAATGTTATCCCGAGCATCATTTTACGGGAGGTTAGCATCAGCCATGCTGGTGGTAGGCAAAAATAGAGTGCAGTTTCGTTTTGTAGTTCAAGTTAACAAGTCATTCCTCGTTCTAGTTAATAGCAAACTACAGATCATCGATATATATATATATATATATATATATATATATATATATATATATATATATATATATATATATATTGAACAATAAAAAATATTAAAAAATTAAAATCTTCAGACACACTGGATTGTAGATTAATATTCTTTCGTTTTTATTTTATTATTATTTCATTTAGATTCTTCGACTAGTTTCGGCCAAAAATGGACATCATCAGAAGAAATATTTCTGCTTGCTGGTAGAAGTAAACTACAGAAATGCATATATATATATATATATATATATATATATATATATATATATATATATATATATAATGATTTTCTAAGCGCTGCTTAGATATGGCACAAGGCCGAAGTATGAAGCACCTAGGTGAGGATCGAACTCACTACTCAGTCGTAATTGTTCTAGCCCACACGCTTGCCAACCATTACACTATGCCGAGGTGCCACACACACACACACACACACACACACATATATATATATATATACACACACACATATATATATATATATATATACAGATACACACGCACACACATAGATAGATAGATAGATAGATAGATAGATAGATAGATAGATAGATAGATAGATAGATAGATACCTTAAGTAAACGTAATAATGAAAACAAAGGCGTTCAAGTTAACAAGGTATTTCGTTCGTTCGAGTTCATCGATAGATTGTGGATCATATATATATATATATATATATATATATATATATATATATATATATACAGAGAGAGAGAATACAAGTAAACGTAATAATGACAACAAATGATAAAATAATCACTAATAAATAATCAATAAAAGTTAACAACCACTATAGAAAGGCCACAAAACTGTATCCGGATCACAAATAGTTTCCACTCAATAACCCAGAGAATAATTCGAAAAATAATCGTCACAGTCTAGCAAAAAAGCGTTAGAATAATACAATAGTGCTAACCATAATGCACCACTGGACTGCATATATGAATAGACAAGCCTAAACACAACGCCCATTGCCTGATGATTGCGTTTAAGCATTAAACAGACTATCGCCGTTAGGTGTTGACTTTGATGCCCACTTTCAATCTGGTTAGATCTATCTATCTATCTATCTATCTATCTATCTATCTATCTCTTATTATTATTATTTAAACATTAATTTTGACCATGATCAGATACCGGGACATAATCAATGACCTAAAACAAGCTAAGGATTTGATTTTCTTGTTGTTTTCATATAATTATACAAAAGATAGTTATTAACAACATCAGCAAAAATAGAGAAAGCTTTTTACAGGATATGGGTTGTGCTTCTGAGAAATATATTTTGCTTTGCTTGGAAAGACGAGCAACAGATTTAATATACGCTTTCCACTTCACGTCAGCTAAAAATGCGTAACGAGTCACACTCCTGGAGGTTAGCATCAGCCATACTAATGAAAGACAGAAAGGTGCGACAGTCTGTCACTTTCATTTGGATGGGCGATGTCGGTTATATTTCGAATTATTCTAGGGGCAATTGAGTGGAAATAATTGTGGATCCAGATGCAGTTTTATCATTGGTGTTGGTTTTTATTATTACATTTATTTGTTTTATACACACGCACACACACATACACACAAATATATATTTTTCATCGTTATTTTCGCCAGAAATTAAAGCAAACGTACGAACATTAGAACGGCTCACCATCAGACATAATAGACATTCATTATCTGTTATATTTAATATATATATATATATATATATATATATATATATATATATATATATATATATATATATATATTATGCACATAGGCACATACAAAAACTGGGCATCTTGTTTCAATGTTAATCTTTCATAAGATGGGAAATCACAATGTTACTAAAATATTTAATTCCGAAATCCAGTTCACTTCCGTTATATATATATATATATATATATATATATATATATATAAAATAAAAACAAGTCCTATTCTTCTTTGTTTACAACTGACGGGTTCATCATTCTAAATTCAGTTGGGATTGTCGTCGATCTAGTTTGTAGTAATGTCCCTTCTTATCATAATAAGTATTGTTATTAATTATTGACCCTTCCCTATATATATATATATATATATATATATATATATATATATATATATATATATATATATATATATATATATATATAAGGGGTATATATGCCCGCAAGTTTTGGAATAGAAAAAACGTAAACTGTAAGAGTGAGTGAAATTGGAAAATCTTCAAAGATTTTTTCGAGCGTCATTTTTTCTTTTCTGAGTCAGCTGTTGAAAATCACACACTTTGTGTACGCTCCTTCATAGCATTCAAATGTTGTTTTTTTCCTCCCCTCCTCTCTCTCTCTCTCTCTCTCTCTCTCTTTCTCTCTTCGCTTTTGCAAGTCAGAGAAAGGCAACCAAACTCTGAAATGTAAATTGGAACGTTAAATTATTTTTAGAAGGAAATGACATTTTTTGAATCTTAAAAAATTGCAGAGATGAAAGAACAAATCTTATATCTCCCTACAACTAAATTACGCATACATATAAAATGGAAATAGATAGATAGATAGATAGATAGATAGATAGATAGATAGATAGATAGATAGATAGATAGATTGCTGTTTGAGATAGATAGTTACGTAGGTGGACAGATTTGAAAAACCTTGATAGATAGATAGATAGATAGATAGATAGATAGATAGATAGATAGACTGCTGATTCATATAGATAATTACATAGATAGACAGATTTGAAAAGCCATGATAGATAGATAGATAGATAGATAGATAGATAGATAGATAGATAGATAGATAGATTGCTGTTTGAGATAGATAGTTACGTAGGTGGACAGATTTGAAAAACCTTGACAGATAGATAGATAGATAGATAGATAGATAGATAGATAGATAGATAGATAGATAGATTGCTGTTTGAGATATATTGTTATATAGAAAGATGTGAAAATCTATGATAGATAGATAGATAGATAGATAGATAGATAGATAGATAGATAGATAGATAGATAGATAATGATTAGACTGAGATATATAGATTGATAGATGTAAAAAGCCAGGATATATACAAAGAAAAAAAGATTTGGCTTATATACTGCGATAGGTGGATAGATATGTATATACTGAGATAGACATGAAGAGAGACTGTGATAGGTGTGACTTTAATTTCATAGAGACATGGATAGATGTAAACACCTGGTGATTGTTAAGTCCAACCCGCCTCCAATCTCTCTGTAAACAGGAAGCTGTGTAGATAGACGTGGAGAGTTTAGAAAAGACTTAGATCTCACTTAACTCTATGGATACACACACTAATTTTAGTTGATAGAGACAAAATACAATCACTTCCCGCTTAACATCTTGCCTGTTTATCAACCTCGAACTTACGACTGTCGGTATTGTGCGTTTGATCATGACTGTTTTTGCTTTCTTCAAAATGAATCAAAATATACAAATTTGCCATTTAATTTTTCTTTCTTTTCCGTGCTTTTTCTTTCTTTCTTTTCTTCTTTCTCTCGCCATTTCTTTCTTTCTTTCTTTCTTTCTTTCTTTCTTTCTTTCTTTCTTTTTGTTTCATATTTAGTGTCATTTCTTTTTTCTCGTCTTTTTCTTTCTTTCGCCACTTTTTCTTTTTTTATCCTTTTTTCTTTCTTTCTTTTTAACTCCAGTCTTTTTTCATTTTCATTCTTTCTTTCTCCTTTTTTGTTTCTTTCTTTCTTTAATCACTAATCATTTTTCTTTTAATTCCAGTCTTTTGTATTATTTTCATTTCTTTTCTTTTTCCTCTTTTTTCTTTCTTTCTTTCTTTCTTTCTTTCTTTCTTTCTTTCTTTTATTCTTTCTTTCTTTCTTTCTTTCTCGTCTCATTCTTTCTTTCTTTTACCTCAATTTAATCTTTCTTTTTTTCTTTCTTTCTTTCTTTTAATTCCTGTCTTTTTCATTCCCTTCCTTCGTCTTTTTCTCTCTTTCTTTCTTTCTTTCCTTCTTTTAACTCTAGTCTTTTTTATTATTTTCATTCACTTTTTCTTTTTCTTTCTTTCTTTCTTTCTTTCTTCTTTCTCGTCTCTTTTTAGCTCTGTTGAAACGCATTACTTACCGCTTAACAGTGATTACATCCATTGTTTAATCTCCGTAAACGTTAGCAAGCATCGATAAATATCCATGGGGTTAATATTTTGGGGGCATTGAGGATTA